TTATGGTGTGTACTTGTGCAAACGTTTAATCTTGATGTTTTTTACCTGGGTTAAGATGAAAGACAGCTATGCTGACACTTCGCCTTTTTACCTGTGCTACTTTGTACTATGTGAATAAAGCCCTGTTATTATTATTATTCCTATACCTTTTAGGCATCTATTCACCATGCTACACCAGAAGTCAGATTTGCTTGACCGATCTTTCACATTTAATGCAGTTACTCTGTAAAACCTTATTCTGGGTCACGTGGAAGAATATTTACATGAGCTAAACTTCTCGCTTTCATATTGTAATAATTATAAATAGAGACGATTACTGATATTATTACCTACTTAGCACCATATGTAGTGGCACCTCAAACCTCGACACCTATAAATGGTGCAGAAGACGTTCTACTGAAAGCTTCTCCGAGACAGCTTCTAAAAATTGGGGCGATGGATGGTAAAATAATGCTATTAGTGATCTACTTGGAAGTGCTTCATGGACGGGCCTAGATCAGAAAGCGTCGATTAGTAAAAATAAATTTAACGTTTTCAGTTATGATTTAGCTTGGAATGAAATACCCCAAGAAGTCATGAATCATCTCCTTGGAAGCATGGCCCAGCGACTATATGACTGTATTACGGCTTAGGAGTGGCCCAGGACATTACTACATTACCAGGAGAATCCAACGACACAACAAATGTTTTACTTCAAACTCTAATCACGGCTTCTTGTTGATGTCTAGCCAAAGGGTACCAAGAGAAGTCAGACAAGGGCAAAATAGTGAGGTATAAGAGACGTAACCAAAAACGTATCGTCCACAAAAGAGCTGATAGCGTCTAAGCACATGCTGTTCTTATTCAGTTAGAGATAAATGCGAGTTGCCAGAATAGATATTTTTTCAGATAGTTTCATTGTCCATCATTCTTAGTGAAAGCCTTTTTGTTCAAATTTGCTTTTGCTTGGACATTTATTTCTAGTGTGGATATTTATCATCCGTCTGCAGCCTACGAAACATATTTGTCATTTATTAAAGTTATAAAGCACAGTTTTCGCCTTTTGCGTCACGTTAATAGAAGTTATCCCTCAAACGCTGATTTGACAAATCTTAGGTGTATTGAACATAGCTAGTGGTTACCTAGATAATATGTTTGATAATTTTGTATGACCAAAACCCGTAAAATGAACTTAATTATATCCAGCTTAGTATAAATGTAACGTTTTATAAACATTTTCTGTCAGTTTGGCAACATCGTCTCTGTAAATGCACAGCGAAATATGCGGATCCTTGGCCGGATGCCGGGTCATCTCTGAACAAATCGCCAAACCAAAGTGGATCCCCTCATTGGTCAATTTTTTTTCCACAAACCACCAACCGCAGAATTTTGGTTACATCGCATACTGATATGATGTGTTAAAAACTAGACACATCAAATTTGCATTAATACCTATAATGCAGAAGAAATCCAATATCAGGCGGGAGCGGGATATAAAGACATTCCACAAAGTGTCTTTGCCTGGTATAACTACTCATTTATATACCGGATACAACTATCATTCAAATAAATGTATTTTCATTGATTTTACTATTCCTTCCTTTCCTTTCTTTGCCACATGTATTAAAGTCAACGTGTTAACATCTCAATTCTACCACCACAAAATATTCTCAGACTTCAAAGAAATATAACTGTACTGCACTGTTGTCTGCGGTAGAGCTGCCAGCGGGGTTTTATCGGGGCCGAGATGGGAGAATCCGCTGCGAACCTCCCTGTGAGCTGACCGTGATTAGCTGATATAAGATATCGCACCCAAACACACTGCATGGGATACTACAAGGAAGTTTACAAGGAAATTGCCAGATTTCGTGGGTGAAATACGAGCCGAGGATTTGATTAAGGAACCGAAGTTCTTTATCCGAGAGTAGCGTTCGGAAATTGCGCAAGGTTTCTGCGAAACAGATTGTAAAGAGTAGTACAACTACCCTAATCTATGTGTAGATCATCTCTTCAGCCTTGGAGGCTATATAATTCAAAATAAATTTCATTTCACTATTTTTGTTTTTTATTCCTGTACCTCCGTAAAGATTTGACCCAAATAACTTAAGTGCCTTGCGGTCATTTACTCCATTTCAAAACAAACAGGGCCCATATTCACTTGTCGCTACCTGCCCAAGTATCCATGGCGCGCGATGTTTGCTTTTATGGGACATAGATGAGATTTGAATACACTGTAGATATGCCTGCAATATTTTAGAGCGGGTCTAATCTGTGCTTTGAGCAAGGTTATATGATGAAGAGTACTGCCGAGCTACAAACAGATAAGCCAGATTCCTCCTGGCAATTAGTGTGACTTAGGATATCAGGTTTTTGCCAGAGAGGTCGGCGGTGTCACTGTTCTTTTCTAAAACACATACACATAGATCAGTCTGGTACACCAAGTGCCTACATGTAAAGTATTGTCATGCGCAAGTGGAGGCTATAGGGTAAATGTAAACATGCCATAAATCATCGAAAGCTTTGGATATAAAGAGCAGCTCATTGAGTCTCTCTAATCAAATGAGCAAGCTTAATTCAAGTATGTATAACTTGAACTAAAAGTTTTCCTTCAGACGAAATATCTATGTTCAAAGCCACAGTTTGTCACTAATCAACCGCAGGACCTTAAAGAGCTTTCTCTAGATAAACCTTCGGTAGCCTGAATTTTATAACACAAGTCAAATTCGACATTTGAGTTTTTGAGAATGAGTTCAAAAATGTAACTTAATTGTGAAAATTAGTATGTTGAATTACTTCCACAGGCCATGCGCTTCGCTGTGGTGACTGAAAGTACACAGTCAAATTGAGTTGAGCTAGGCAGTAAAAAAATGTTCCAGGCAGGTAACATTCTAATATATAATTTACTATTTATTATATGTATTCATTCCTTGAACATGTATAAAGGTAGTCACCATATAACTTTGTTGAATTTTAAATTAAACCAAATATAAGTGTATCATTGTGTAGTAACTTATTTTCTACGCTAAAACTAGATTTTTGGATGTGGATAAAGGTTTTCTTACTTATTTTCAGAGTCTTGTGCGCTACCTCATTGATTAGTATATGCTGTGAAAGTTGTATTGACTTTTCTGTCATGATTATGACTCAACGTTTAATTGCTAAGAAGATCAGTGGCTTTTATATTTGGCTGTGGCAATATTAGTTTTGTTTCAGGTGTAATATGGCAAGCAAAGTGTTTTTGTGAATCCTGAATTGACCAAGCATACTACGTCAAAACCGTGGTTACAATATTTAAATCGGTCAGTGCAAAAACCTCGTAGTTCCTACAATTTGAATATTTCAGAAGACAGTAAAAACCTGTGCTAAAGACAGAGTCACTGATAAATAAACCGGTTTTAAAGTACTTTTGGAGCTTAATGCTGTATTTAAAATCTAGTGGATTGAAATTATGAATAGTCTTTGCAGTTTATTAATAATAATGCAAAACGTCTGAAAAACGATTATGGTTACGATGTTTTAGCAGGAAATAGAGTTATTGGTTATTGGTATATAACTTAAGCAAAAGAATCACATTGATCGTATTTATCATTTCTTATTACTGAAAATGTCTTAATTTTGTGTGTTTTAATATTTTATGGTACATAGGAGAAACAAAGCGCACATCTGGCAAAGTCGAATTTACCGGTTTACATCCAAACCATCGAACGACCATTATGAAAAAATACATAGAACTATTCGTTCAACTTTCGTCGATAATCGGCAATTGGTTGTAAAAAGCCCACGCGCTTATTTAACTACCATGCAGTGAAATGTATTTTTTCAACAAAAAACAAAATCGTATCAGTATATTTAGTCGAATGAGGAGGGTTGAGTCAATGGTTTTGGTAGCAGACAAGAATACTCTTAAACAAGTGATTTCGGGCAAAGCGAATAAGGCCTGTAATCTTATTTTCATAGTGAAGTAAAAATTTATATATTGGTGCATATAGCACATACATCATTGACAGATGTGCATCATCTGCCATTAATTGCCAAATTTTTGCATCCGGATAAATTTTTATATTTTGGCACGAAAGAAGGCAATAATATTATGGAAGCTGAATCCGAGCGGTCCCCAGGCGACCCCTCTACTGCTTTGAGTGGAGTTGGCGCAAAGTGCAGCGCTACTTTTGAACATATTCCAGAAAACCAAAACGAGATGACGCCAATGATGACATCAGAGATGACACCGATACTGGAGAAGGAAAACGAGAACCAGAGACTTTTGAAGATAATTGCAGACCAAGCAGCCCAGATTCAGAGACTGACTGACTGTGTGGAGTCACTTAATGCCCAGGTTTTTAAGCTTACAAGTATCATTAATAAATCAGTTCCCAATGTTGATTCTTCCAAAACAGCAAAACGTAGACATAACAGTCATTCGAGTGACCTACATACTGAGACCGATGAGGACACACAGGGTGATCTTTTCACACCTGTGCGACGTCGCAAAGTGAGACTGTGCAAAACAGAATTTCCTCCGTTACCGACAAAATCCCCAAATAACAAACATTCCGGCAACCCAAAACCCTCTGTGTCTGTACCTTCTACCGCTTCTACTAGTCAGCCAAAGGAAAGACCTTTATCAGCATCCACACAGAGTGCTCCTCCTGTAATACCACAAGTGCAGTCTGATCCGTTGGCTGGCTGCAACTCATCTTCCTTGCCATCCAGCGGATCTCTAATCACACAGGCCCAATCGCCTCACCAGGGGCGTATTACTCCAATCGTGTTGAGTGATGCGACAAAATGGAGCACCTTAAACTATTCCTTTGTAAGTCTTGGTATTCGTATTGAACGAACAGTCGCTGTTGACGCTGGTGTACGTATCATCCCCAAAACCGAAGACGATTATCGCAGGATAATCCGTCTTTTCAAAGAGGAAAACATTCCTCATCACACTTTCCCTTTGCCCACTGAACGCAACATCCATGCGGTTATCAGAGGGATTCCAGCGTCAATCACCGTACAGGAGGATAAAGATGCTAGAACGGAAGGGTTACGCTCCCTTTCACATCATTCGCCTGAAGCGCAACGGCGGCGTGCCCATGCCCTTGGTGGTGGAGATCCTGCCTAAGACGGAGAAGTCACAGCAAGTGTTCAACGAACACGAATTGCTGGGGCTCTCTATCACAGTCGAAGTTCAGAAGAAATATCGACTCACTGGGCAGTGTCACCGCTGCCAGAAGTATGGACACGCACAGTCGTATTGCACTGCGCCGCCAAAGTGTCTAAAATGTGCCCAAGACCACATGACATATGTGCCCTCAAACAGGACAAGAGGTGCGCAGATGTGCGAACTGTGGGGGGACCATCCAGCAGATAGTCCTACCTGTAGATTTGCTCCTAGGAGATATCTACAAGTCATCACATAAAGGCGAGCAAAGTCATACGCGGACGCACCGAGAGATGATACCTCAACTGCCCCTGATGTTTCGAGCTCGTCTCCGACTACTCAAAATGTGGACCTAGCAACAGCGCTCAGGTCCCTGCAGCAGATTATTAGTCCCGTGATAAGCGCCATTCAGGCATTGCAGGCAATCTTTCCGCTAAATGGCTAGGTACAATAGCAGACAGCCTACATACATCAAAATTCTTTTCTGGAATTGTTTGGGTCTTAGGGACGTCCCCAAAACACGGGAACTTCATCAAGCTCTGTTGGATGAGAGCGTAGATGTGGCTCTGCTGCAGGAAACATTTCTTAATCCGGGAGATCGTCTAGCTTTCCCGAATTATGATGTTATCCGCGCTGATAGATTAACTGGACGGGGTGGCGGTTTGGCTGTGCTAGTAAAACGTGGTATTGACTATTACAGAAGCACAAATGCCGTGGTAGTGAATATGACGGGAGGTATCTCGTTGAAAATCACATCGGTTTATGTCAGGTGTGGTGCCAGGCTGCAAGAGACGGATCTGGAAGTCCTGTTTGACTGCTCGGGTCCTCTTATTGTAGCAGGGTACTTCAACTGTAAACATCGAGCATGGCACTCTAGGTTAAATTCCACCTGTGGGATTTGACTTTACAACCATGTGATACGAAACGGCTACCTCATACACAGCACTGAGGAGCCGACTAACCACCCATTTAATCACTTTCAGGCACCAGATGTCACTGACTTCGCGATATCCAGAAACTGTAGATACAGTGTCACTTCTCGAATCATGTTTTTTTTATACTCCAACTACCACGAAGGCCTAAGGCCTAAACACCCATTGGGTACCGTGGGGCTATAGGGGAATACAGGGGAAAGGGGGGACGCCACACGGACTCTGGCGAGGGAACCCGTGTGCATGCAACATGCACACATTCTGGCTCCGCCTACGAGATCCGCTGGGTGGTACGGTGGTACCTCCGCGAATTATGTTTCTCAGCCACAACAAGGAGTTTTTAAAAAATATTTATTTTGTAGACATGAACGTGTTACAAGTTGGAATGATAATGAATTAAAATATAAAAAGAAAAATAGTTTTAATAAAGGTTTCTGCTGTCGTTGCGACTGGCGGTGTCGTCTTGCTGACGCCTCGGGTTCTTGACCTATAACGCCTCCCTCGCTAAGCTGAAAGTCCGTCCTCGGACTTTTGAAGTTTTAGGTTTTCCAAGTCGGCAATGGAAATTTTCGGCTTGAAGAAAAGCGTCTGGAGTCTTCTTCTTTTTCTTAAGACGAAGTAAATGCTCGCTGTGACGATGATGAGCATTAGGGTTGCCATGGACCAAGTTGTTGTAGACGTCACTGTAGGGCTTAGATGTAAGAGCTGTATGGCCGATAGCTGTGGTACATCTTTGAGTGGCTGCAACTCGTTGATCTGTAAGTTAAACTTTGGGCGGATCTTTATAGGGATGATATCAGGAACTTCGATTTGCTCTGAAGTAGTGCTGTAAATCTGTCCATTAATTTCGATTGGGCATGAAGAATAAACAATTGCTGCTTGACTAATATTTCGGTGAGTCTGGGAACATCTTTCAACGATTTGGATTGGCTCATTTGTACTGACGATCAGGTTTTTCTTTGTTTGGTGGATGACAGGCTGGGAAAGCTTGGCAGTGGTACAATTTTCTAAGCTGAGAAGCTGACATCTTGTGGTGGAAGCGGGTTGACATACGATTTTTGGTCCTACATCGGTGCATGTAGAATACCAGCGATTATCTCCATAGAAAGTTGCAGGAGGCAGTAGTACAATGTTTTCTTCATTATGTATGGGATAAATATGGTAAAGTCGGAAAGAGTGATCATTAAGGATCGGGATTTTGAAAAGGATGAGTAACTGAGTATTTGTGGTAATTAATGAACAACGTGAATTTTCGATAAGTTCAAAGGGATGTGAATTATCTGATAAAAGAGAATTTGATTTATATAAAGATTTTAGCTTTTCTTCTAAGTCAGTGATTTCGGAAAGTGAAAATAATTCTATGTTCGGTTGTTCTAGTGCAGATAGGTTTATACTTCTAATAAGCTTTAAAATGAATTGATTCAAATGATCAATATTACGAATTTCGCTTTGAAGAGTAATAAACTGCTGGAATTCATCTCTAAGAAAATTAATATCTTGTGTGATTCTCACTGTATTATTATTTATGCTTTCAATCAGAATATTATATCTTTTTATTGTTTCTGATGCATAACTTGTCGAATTATTAAGCACATTGATTATACGATTTTGTTTATTTTCGATACTGAAGATGTGCCTTTCCAAAAATATACGATCGTTTTCGTCAAGGTTGCCAGTCACTGATTTAATAAAAGTTCCCAAAAAGTTAGCAATTCCTCGCCTTTGACGGGGTCGGATTATTTTATGAAAATTGTCAAGTGTCTCGGAATAGAGATGGTTATATTGTTCAAATATTCGGTAGTTGGAAGTAGTGAGAGTCTTGTTAAGGAATAGGAAGTTAGTTAGAGTCATTTTAAGCGTTGCGTCGATAGCAGTTAGGTTAACAGTAATAATATGTCGGTGATAGTGATTTAACTCTTGAGCATGGCCTATCAGTTCACGATAGTATCCATTATTCGGGATCAGGTGCACTTGAAGGGCCAGGTTGTGGTTCGTCAGGATGACGATCCTGTAACAAGGGTATTTTCCTTAGACGTTTGATTTTTCTAGGATGGGTATTGGTGGGTCTATTTTTGGAAGTAACGGCCTGAATTTTGGTATTGCTACTAGAAGTAGTTTCGGCTGATACGTAAGGTGCAGATAATTTATTTCGGGGATTTTTCTGAATATATATGGTTTGGCCAGGTGCTGGAGCAGGAGTGATCTCGGGTAGTCTTTCATTGCGTTTATTTAAAATTGCTGTTTCTTTATCGTGGAGTTTTCGATAAAGAGAGTCAATGAAAGGTCGAAGTTCGTCTTTATGTCGTTGGTTATATTTTTCGTAGATAGGTAAGTCATTGTCAAAAAGTATTTCTTCTGCATATGGGCCATATAAGATAGAAAAAGGTGAATAACCTGTGGCGGAATGGATGGACTGATTGTAAATTAAAACACAATGTGTAACGAGATCAGTAAAATATTCTTTGGGGCGTTCGTCGTGCATAACACGGAGCTTTTCTGTAAAAGTAGAGTGAAATCTTTCGATAGGACTATTGGAATTCGGGTTGTTCACTGTCGTAAAGTGTAGCTCGATTTTGTGAAGATTTAAAAATTCTTTGAAGAGGTTATTTGAAAATTCGGTACCTTCGTCGCAGACTATTTTTCGAGGATAATTATGGTGGGAGAAATAGTGACGTAATTTGCTAAGGATTGTGGTATTCATTTTGTCAGGTATACTGTACACTTGGGCATACTTGGAAAAAGAGTCGATGATTGTGAGGAAAGTTTCTCGATTACAGGAAAATGTGTCAATATGAAGGATGTCGAAAGGCTTTTGTCCTAGAAGTGGACCTTTTAGGGGTAATTTATATGGGTGTCTCTCGTATTTATTACGAAGACAAATATCGCAGTGGTTAATATGCTCTGAAATTGTAGAACGCATATTAGGCCAGTAATAGTGTAATTTTAAATGACTAAGTGTTTCGAGAATACCATTGTGATTTTCCTTATGGTAATTTTGGAGATGTCGTAATTGGTCTTCGGGTCTCTCTACATCTTGAACTCGTTTGGTGCAGAAGAATATTTGGATGTTTTGGTTATAAGTATTACGGACGAAGTCGGAAATATATTTTTGGATATCGGGATTGTCAGTCAGAATGTAGTATCGTTGATTGGGGGCTATAGTTTGATGGAGAGCAGTCTTGATGTCGGTTTTCCAGT